CCCTAATTTTGACAGACAGCAAACTGTGATGAAGAAAAAATAAGTATAATAAGTATTTTGTACAGACAAAAGTAATCTGAGTATTTTATTGACTGCATGTATCCATTGTGTTGTCATAGATGGTATTTTGTCCCTGTGAGTCTACAACTTGGGGAACACTATGAATGCTGTGATGCAAAAGTCAGAGTGTGATCAAAAAGTTCCAGAGACTGACCTCTAAATTTAAAGTCCCAGCAAACATTTTGACGTTCAATAACCATCAGGAGGTGTTCTCTCTACGTCTCGTCACGGTTGGAAGAAAGCTCCAGAATAAATGTTGTTGCGACGTCGGGGATAAAAACTCTCTGTCAGTTTGAGGTGTTTATTCAATGTTTAATGTTTCCTGGACGTCAATCTGTCTGTAGTTCAGTTTCTGCAGATGTTCCAGGGACTTAACAGGGTTTCAAACATCTTTCCTGGGTTTGACTGTTCAAGATCATCGTCTTGTGAACCTCTGGATGACTTTCAGTACAACATCTATTTTTAGATCTCTCATTCTGTCCCGTTGTACCTCCAACAGTCTGACTCCTCTCCTCTGGACAAATTCTGTTGCACAGGTTTGGTTGTAGCCGAAATCTCAGCTCTCATCACTACGAGCTTCTTTACACAATTCAGTCAGTTTCTATGCAGGTTTTCACAGTAAAAACACAGAGTGCACAGTAGAGAGCTTGGATTATACTCTGTTGTGGACACGTACAGCTGGAGACTCGATGGCCGAGTGATCATTCCTCAGCAATACTTCTTTTAGGTTCGGTGCCTGAGCACATTTGTAGTTGGTGCGCATTTTTTTGCATGGGCACAAAAATCAGGCAGGTATGTTTCACGTCCGCTCAGACCCTCGCATTCAAACTCGTCGATGGACAGCGAGTGAGTCACGTCACAGGGACCCAAGCGATCTGCAGATGTGGAAACTATAATGTCAGAGACGTCCTGGAAGAGATCTAAAAATAGCAGCGGTGCTGGGAGCTTCTTGGGCATTCCTGAGAGGATGACTTTGAAGAGGAGATTGCCAAATTTAAATCAGGGAAGGGTTTCGCTTGTGATAGACCTGCTGTCTGAACTCTTTAATCACACTTCATATCTATTTTTTACCCTTTCTGTGTAAATTCTCCATGTTAAACATGGTCAATGTTAAATGTGCAGTTCATGTATAAGAAGAGAATAATTCAGTGTTTCTCACTATAAATAAAAGAGTGAGAGACACTGAGCGACAAAGAGAGGCACAGAGAGAGAAGTTCAAACAGCCTCCAGACAAATAATCAGCCGTGGCTTTTCAACCTACACACACACACACACACACACACACACACACACACACACACACAAAGATGTGTATGTTTAGACGCTCACACTTTCTTCCAGTGTTCTGGGTGAGTGGCACACACAGTTTATGATGCACACCATACATATGCATGTGAGTCGGAAATCGACCCACTCCCCGTCTCTCTCACTCCGAGTGTTTCCGCCTAGCCGTCTTCATAAATGACACTGACGTTTTTATCTGACTGTAGTGGCCTGAAGGGGAACGAGAAGTAGAAATCTTGAGTCACCGAACTAACCAAGCAAAGCTGAGACAAGAAACAGAGTTTTATTAACGCTATCGGAAATGGAGAAAGAGAGAGACGCGCTTAAAGCTTCAGGGTTTCATTTTTGAGCACTAGAGGGCAGAAAAGCATCAGAAGAAGATGATATAAAGTAATCAAAAGAAAGTTTTTGATTTTTTTATTTGCAAATTACTTACAGTTATCTCTGCTGTGTTGCTTTATCGTTATTTGGAAAGAAACTGCTTGAATAAAAAGTTTTCTCTTTCTAAGAAGCTTTTATTTTGAAATGTAAGAAGTAAGTGTAGCTATTTATTGGCTCATAGCTTAACACAGAAATTAAGAATTGTGAACTTAAACTTACTGAAATTAATTAGGGGAAAAATAGTAAGAAAAGACAAAAAATAACAGAGTAAGAATTTATTTAAGAAATGCTAAAATGTCTGTTACTTTTTCAACCTTTTCTGCTAAGTTCCAGCTCTGCATTTAGAATATCTTCTTGGATTCTCTGAAGTAGCTTTGCATGATTCAAATTCATCCTTATTTGTCTCATTGGTGCTGTTGTAGCACACATACACTGTATAGAAAAATGGAAAAGTTCCAGTAATGTCCCCTTGAGGACGTTAGTGGAACTGCAAGTTTTCCGACCCCAGACGTTGTTGGTTGATTGCAGCCTGTCAGTTGGAAACAAGTGCTGTGTCCCAATTCAGGGTCTGCACGCTTGAAGTACGCATTTTAAGTGT